CAACCAGTGCTTGTGTGAGCTGCGGCTGAAGCCCAGCCTCAACAGCGGCTGCAGTTGACAAGTAGCTTTTAGGCTACTTCTGCTACATTTACAGCAGTGTTCGTTAATGTGCGTTGAAGTAACTGTACAACTTGTCATTATAATGTAGAAACAAAGGTAATTATGCAGAACATGTTATTATCAAGCTAAACTTTAAAGTTACTCTGTTTTTATTGCTAACAAATGCATGTAAGAGCATTTTAATGTAACATAGTGTTTACTGTCATGTGCACAGTAAGGAAACGCGTTTCCCTGCACAATGAAATTCTTCCTTTGCTGTCCACAATGAATGCCAAGGAAATATAAAGTCTAAGTATAAAACAGATAAATAATAATACAAAATAAAGGCAGTTTTAAAAACAGCAAGTGAAAAATATTGTAAGAATATATGCTACATCAGCTGTATGTGCAACAGTCGGCAATGAATGTACAAACTGAGAATGTAAGTGGTCAGGTGCAGTTACCTGAAGTAATCCCTGATTGTAAACTCCTGTCAGCTGTTTAGGAGTCTGATGGCAGCAGGAAAGAATTCTTTAGTCTAGAAGTCCTGAATTTCATATGTCTGATGATAGGGTCGTGTTGCATACATTCAGCAGTAGCCACCATCTGTACTGTACTGGGCAGTGTTTACTTTCCGACCTGTATTGTGTTCAGCAGTACCTTCTAGAGAGGTGTACCATCCCTGTCAAGATCTTCAGAAGCGTGACACTAAATAAAATAAACACAGTTGTGATCATGCACCTGGAACATGCACTTTACTATATCTGGTCACATGATCTGACTGCGGTCACCATGGCAACAGTTGTGGAGCCAACATGGCTGTCAGCTGCTAAAACACTGCAAGCACTCCCATAATGCACTTTGTCTGGTCTAGATGTTATAGACAGAGGGGTACGCCGACAGAGCATGCCCAGTAACTTTGCTGTGGACACACCCACCAGAGTGACGGTGAACACACACACACATGCTGTCAGCTGGGATCAGCCTGTTGTTCCTATGGAAACAGGAGCCTAGCTGCAGTCAGCTGTAGATCAGCTGATTGGCTCCACCTGCAGGTGAAACAGTGTGACATCACAGTCAGACAAGTGACAGATGAGACAGACAGAGAGAAAGGTGAGACGGGTATGAGAGTGAAAACGACGTGCTAACTCTCCCAGTGTGTCTCTGACTGTGTCTGTGTCCAGAGATGGAGGGAGTACTCTGATTCTGTACGTCAGCAAAAGTAGAAATATGTGGTTCAGAATACTCTACAGGTGCATCTCAATAAATTAGAATATCGTGGAAAAGTCAATTTATTTCAGTAATTCAACTCAAATAGTGAAACTTGTGTATTATATAAATTCAGCACACACAGACTGAAGTAGTTTAAGCCGTTGGGTCTTTTAATTGTGATGATTTTGGCCCACACTTAACAAAAACCCACCAATTCACTATCTCAATAAATTAGAATACCTCATAAGACCTATAGAGCAAACATTTTTAGTGTGTTCAGATCACTGTGACAAGTCTAAACAGGGTATTAGGGTCAGAGGTAGGGATGGGTTCTGATAGCGGTTTTCTGTTGGATCCAGTTCTGAGTTGGTAAAATACCCAGCTTCGTGAAGTTTCACAAACAAATGAATCCCTATCGAACCTGTGACCTGAAGCAGAGCAACAATCTGTTCACCTTCAGGTAACACTAAGCTCATAATGCAGCAAAAGATCTGTGATTTATTTAATTATTCACAGGATGATAAAGTGGAATTAATATTACAGGTGCATCTCAATAAATTAGAATATCGTGGAAAAGTCCATTTATTTCAGTAATTCAACTCAAATAGTGAAACTCTTGTATTATATATATATATTCAGTACACACAGACTGAAGTAGTTTAAGCCTTTTAATTGTGATGATTTTGGCCCACATTTAACAAAAACCCACCAAATCACTATCTCAATAAATTAGAATATGGTGACATGCCACTCAGCTAGTCAACTCAAAACACCTGCAAAGGTGTCCTGAGCCTTCAGAATGGTCACTCAGTTTGGTTCACTAGGCTACACAATCATGGGGAAGACTGCTGATCTGACAGTTGTCCAGAAGACAATCATCGACACCCTTCACAAG